CAGAAGCTAGTGTGTAAAACGGTCCAGCACAGGGTAGTAGCGTCTAGAACAGTCTGGTGAAGAAAAGGGAAATCTGTGAAAAGCTGCCGTTGTCAGTTGCTGTCGAGTCAATTCTGACTCATGGCGGCCCCATGTGTACAGAGTAGAACTGCTTCATAGGTTCAAGACTGTGACCTCTTAGAAGCAGATCACCAGGCCTTACTTCCAAGGTGCCTCTGGGTGGGTTTGAAACATCAACCTTTCGGTTAGTAGTCCTGTGCTAAGAAGAGAGGAGAGTAAAATAAGGAAGGCTTTTTCCAGCTCTTGCCCCAAACCAGGTTCAAGCACCTCCTTCTAGCTCCAGGCACAAAAATAAGAACTAGTTGGAATAATTAGACAGGACTGAAGCTAATTAAACACTTTTCACACAGCGAAAGGGGGAAGCTGGATAAAATTGGTGCAGCCCCAGAGGACCAGACCTAGACCATGGCCCCGAGTCCTCTAAGTCTAGAACAGTCCAGAGAAAACACAATGGCTGGTATTTGCTGACTGGTAGGAAGGTGAAGTTTAACAAAACAGTAATTCAAACTGTGTATACATGCTGTATACATCTTAGCTGAAAGCAAATAATACCAGAAAGATGTTTAGTTATGTTTTATTGACTATGCAAAAGCACTCAATTGTGTGGATCATAACAAATTGTGGATAACATTGAGAAGAATGGGAATTCCAGAACACTTGATTATACTCATGAGGAACCTGTACACAGATCAGGAGGCTGTCATTCGAACAGAACAAGAGGCTACTGCATGGTTTAAAATCAAGAGGAGAGTGCATCAGGGTTGTATCCTTTCCCCATATCTGTATGCTGAGCAAATAAACCGAGAAGCTGGAGTGTATGAAGAAGAACGTGGCATCAAGATTGGAGGAAGACTCATTAACAACTTGCGATACGCAGATGACACAACTTTGCTTGCTGAAAGTGAGGATAACTTGAAGCACTTACTGATGAAGATTAAAGACTACAGTCTGCAGTACGGATTACACCTCAATATAAAGAAAAAAAAAATCCTTACAACTGGTCTGATAAACAGCTTCACAATGGATGGAGAAAAGAATGAAGTTGTCAAGGACTTCATATTATTTGGTTCTACAATCAACACTAATGGAAACAGCAGTCAAGATATCAGATGAAGTATCTCATTGGGCAAATCTGCTACAAAAGACCTCTTTCAAGTGCTGAAGAGCAAAGATGTCTCCCTGAAGACTAAGGTGCACCTAACCTAAGCCATGGTATTTTCAATCACCTCTTACACATGTGAGAGCTGGACAATGAATAAAGAACACCAAATAAGAGTTGATGCTTTTGAGTTATGGTGTTGGTGAAGAATGCTAAAGAGTACCATGGTCTGCTAAAAGGACTAACAAATCTGTCCTGGAAAAGGTGCAGCCGCAATGCTCCTTGGAAGCAAGAACGGCCAGAATTCATCTCACCAGTATGGTCATGTTGTCAGAAGGAACCATTCCCTGGAGGATATCATGCTTGGTAAAGTGGAGGGTCAACAAAAAAAGGGGAAGGCCCTCAACAAGATGGATTGACACAGTGGCTGCAACAATGGGCTCAGGTATAGCAAGGATCATGGGGCTGACACAGGACCAGGCAGTGTTTTGTTCTGGTGTGCATAGGGTCGCTATGAGTCAGAGATGACTCGACAGCACCTGACAACAATACATGCGCTAAGGAGCTCTGGTGGTATAATGGTTAAGGCATTTGGCTGCTAACTAAAAAGTGGTTCAAACCCACCAGCCACTCTGCAAAAGAAAGATGAGGTGGTCTGCTTCCGTAACAGCATTGGGGCAGTACTACTCTGTTCTTTTAAGGTTTCTATGGCTCAGAATGAACCTGGTGGCAGTGAATTTGGTTTTGGTTTTATACATGCTGTAAGGGACCCTGGTGGCACAGTGGTTAAAGTTCTTGGCTGCTAACCAAAAGGTCAGCTTTGGGAATCTGTGGGAGAAAGATGTAGCAGTCTGCTTCCGTAAAGATTTACAGCCTTGGAAACCCTATGCGGCAGTTCTACTCTGCTCTATAAGGTCGCTATGAGTCGGAATCAACTCTAAGGCAATGGCTTTGCGTTTGGGGGTTTGATACATGCTTTACTATACTGCATGCTCAAGGACTTCAGTAAAAGAAGTTATTAATGAGTATTTAAATATTTATAGTATTTAACACAAGACACTATGGAAGAAATAGCAATGTGAATTGAAGAGCACTTCATCCTGTGACTGTCCCCCACCCATGAGGAAAGACTAAGCCTCCTGTGGTGTCCCCACCACTCCCTTGGCCACTGGGAGGAAGGAAGAAGAAGCCTTTACTGGGCTTTTCTTGCCAACTGAATACTGCTCAGTGAGAACAAACATCACAGGAGTTTTAATTAGTGGGTTTCTTCTTCCTAAGGCTGCATATAAGCACAGTTATCACTGAGATAAGGTCCACAAGATACATTTTGCTTTTAAGTGACCCCTAATGGAAACTATAGAATTGCCTGTGAAACAGTTACCTATGAAATAACAATTGAGTTGCAAATAAAGCACTCATAATCCAGCAGGCTGCCCCTGCACCTCTGCCAGCCGGAGGAGCTCAAAAACCATAGTGTTCCATCAGCCTTTGGCATGTGAATCAGGCAGATCCAGTTGGCTTTACCCCATTAAAACATTCGCAATGAAGTGACCCAAGTAATTAACTCACAAATGCTTCAGGACATCAAAGGAAATTCCAAACCCCACAAGATGAAAGGTATGTGGCCCACAGAAGTGCCTGGAGGGAGAAAGCAAAGATGAAGTGCTTTAAATGGTACACCCACTATGGAGAACAGTATGGTGCTTCCTCCAAAAGCTAGAAATCTAAGTATCACATGAGCCCGCAATCCTGTTCCTAGGTATATAACCTAGAGAAATGTCACCAATAGACATGCACACCCATGCTCATTGCAGCATTATTCACAACAGCAAGAAGATGGAAACAACCTAAGTGCCCATCAATGGACAACCCAGATAAACAAACTATGGTATATACACATAATGGAATACTGTGCAACGTTAAATAACAAGAATGAATCCATGAAATCTCTCACAACATAGACTGACCTAGAGGACATTATGCTAAGTAAAAGCAGTCAATCACAAAAGGGCAAATATTGTAAGAGACCACAATTATAAAAAGTCATGAAAAGGCTTACACATAGAAAGACACATTCTTTGATGGTTACCGGGGATGCGAGGAAAAATCACTAACTAGATAATAGACATGTGCTAACTTCGGTAAAGGGAAAGACAATACACAATACGGGAAAAGTAAGTACAACATATCCAAGGCATAGGAAGACACTTAAAGGTATGCAAGAGTCAGTGGTAAATACTATTACATATATAATCCTGCAACGATAGTAATAAACAATGTACAAGTAGATACACAGGTAGTTATGCAGGCTCAACAGGGGTGGGAGGGCCCATGGGAGTACATCCATGTGCATATATAGGACTGGCAGTGCAAATTCCTACATATACATTTGTATATGGCCTAAATATACCCATGTATACAAAATAGAGCACACAGGGCACGTAGTCATAAAAAACCCTTAGCCATAACCAAACACATCCTGGGACTAAGACACTGGACTTGAGGGCTAGGGACCATAGTCTTGGGGGGCATCTAGGTCAGCTGGCATATAACAGTCCATAAAGACATTCTCTTTGGTGAGTCATGATTGGGGTTTTAAAAGCTTACAAGTGGCCATCTAAGTTACAACTATTGGTCTCTTTCCCTCCAGAGCAAATAAGAGTGAAGAAAAATAAAGACTCGAGCAAACAATTAGTCCAAAGGACTAAAGGCCCACATGAACCACAGCCTTGACTAACCTGAGACCAGAAGATCTAGATGGTGCCCAGCTAACCACCACCAACGGCTCTGACCAGGATCACAATAGAAGGTACCGGATAGGGTGAGAGAAAACACAGAACAAAATTCATTTAAAA